GCCAGGGGCGGCGCCGGACGCGCCACCAGGGTGGGCCCAGCGCGGATCCAAGAAATCAGCGCGGAGCGCCAAAAGTTTATCTTCGTCGCGTCTTTTCTGCTTCGATCATCTATCCTCCTCCGCCTTCTGTTCCCCCCTCTGCCCCTCCTACCCGCCATCCCCTCCCCTCACCTCCGGGCAAACTGCCCGCCCGAGCACTGCCATCGGGAGGCGGCGCACACTCCACCACTGCCTCTCGGACGATGCGCTTCCGCCAGAAAACCACACACAAAACGACAGCCAGTTATAAAGGTGCCCAGGGACACTCAAACAGATACACACAACTCCCAGGATTGCCCGTACTTTCTCTTGTTCTCTAGTCTTTCGTTTTCCCCCCACTTCCCATGTTTTCCTAGATTTCCCTGAGGATCGACAACTGATTGTGTGTCTGTGTGTTTTTTCCCCTTCCTGAAGTTCAGCAGGGGAGGGGGTGCGCCGGTCAGGACTTGAATAAAGAGGATTCCATAGGGGGCCGAGTAGACGGGGTCGGAGGATCGCGCCGCATCGCCGATACATCGGCGAATCGCGCCGCATCGCCGATGCTCGCCGATGCATTGGCGATGCACTGGTGATACACCGCCGACGTCGGCGATGCATCGGCGACGTCGGCGTGGAAAAATCGGGCTCCACATCGAGCCGCATCGTCGATGCATCGGCGATGCGGCGCGGTCGGTCATCCGACCCAATGCAACCCCATGCGGGAGGCCTAGAGACATCTTGGTGATGGTCAGCGTCCTGCAGGAAAGATCAGACAAACATCGAGAAACGCGAATCGCGAGAAAACGAATCGCTCAGGAACGTAAGCGGAAATCTGTTCTGGGAATCGCGACCAGGGGAGAAACGGCAGGGAAACGATCCTGGACACTGTTCGGCGAGAACCAACTGAGCGCCCCGCCCCCGGGCCCCCCCGAACGCCCAGGCGCCCCATCTGCGCCGCTGGGGGCGGGCAGGGGTGCCGGGACTGCCCCGGTCTGTTGACGCCAGCCAGGACTACCTGAGGGGGCTGCCTGTGCGCAACCCGAGGCCTTACCGAAGAGGAGGCGGAGGAGGAGGGAGAGGAGGAGGAGGGAGGAGGAGGGAGGAGGAGGAGGAGGAGGAGGAGGAGGAGGAGGAGGAGGAAGGGTGTGGGTGGGGCCCATCTTTGTGCCCCGCTATTCTCGCCTCGCTGACCGATCGGTCTGCTTGCGCACTGCTCAGTGGGGGCCATCACAAACTGGGTTCTAACGCAGACGCAGCGAAAGCAACGGGCCTTCGGCCTTCAATAATTTACATACACGAGATACTAGCAGACGAAGCAGCAGACTACTGTTGCGGAACGCCTGGAAAATGCGAGAATGGGCGAGGCGGCACCGTCATCATCACTTACACTGCTGCAATGGTGCGCTTCTTCAGGCCCGCCCGGGCGCTCCGCGCCCCTAGGCGACCAGCTCTCGCAGCTGGGTGACGGGCTCCTATTATGTTCTGATAGTCTTGCCTCGCTGAATTCGCTGCACACTCTGCCTAAGTCGGCGTCGCAACGCACACTTTTGCTTTACCGCTGAACGCAAAAGCCTTGACGCTTATGTTGATGCTAGGCCCGCCCAGATCCTGGGTCCCCCAGACCTTGGCTCCCCCCCCCCCGCCCCCCCGAGATCCAGGCCAGGATCTCGTCTGTGGTCGCGTCCACGAACGACCTGCTCGGCCTCGCGCGGGCAAAGTGCTCAACGACCACGTCGAGGTAGCCGGGCACGGAGTGGAGGGTGAATGCGACCTGGCGATTCGGCCGCCACGGACGCGTGCCTCCTGCCCTGGCTCCTCCTTCCTCCTCCTCCTCCTCCTTCTCCCCCTCCTCCTCCTCCCCCTCCTCCTCCTCCTCCTCCTCCTCCCTCCTCCTCCTCCTTCTCCGTCTCGTCCCCTCCCCCTCCTCCTCCTCCTCCTCCCCTCCTCCTCCTCCTCCTCCTCTCCTCCTCCTCCTCCTCCTCCTCCTCCTCCTCCTCCTCCTCCTCCTACCTCATCCCGTTCCCCGTCTCCCCCCTCCGACACCACAATGAAGGAAAGGACGCGCCCTGGCCGAGGGCGGCGCCAGAAAGGGCCTGCACTCATCCTGAGCCCTGGAACTCCTCCGGCAAGGAGCCCTGGATAGCGTTCTGCACATACAGCATGATATAAAGTCGCACAATGCTGCCATCGAGATCCAACTCACGGGCGGGAAACCCTGCTGGTCGCGAAGACAGCCAAGAACCCGCAGGATCCCTCCTCCACACATCATCTGACATGTGCAAGACAGGCTCTACGCACGCGGCCAGGACAAATCATGGCAGTTGGGTCACGAGGCACGGGCAAACCATGACGCTGCCAAGGCACCTGCAAGAGACCATGAACCGGCCCTCCCGAAACCTTGGTGAGCTGTGGCGGCACCGGGATGCACCCGAGATGTAGAAACCTTTGATGCCGACCTTCGCATTGCACTATGGTGTTGATGAACACACACTGCGTCACGCAATGGCGGGCGCATACGGCGCTGGCCCGACGACCCCCCCTCCGCAAATTTGATCGCTACGAAAGTCAATATGCTTGACCGACTACGATGCACCTCCTGTTCGAGGGGGCATGCTTGACCTGGTGCTATTGCGCGGCATTGAAGTGGCCACCGAGGGTGTTGCAACTGATCTTGGGTCGCTCCCCACTTCAAGCGCCATTTCATATCTACGTCCGCGTCGTCGCTGGCGACTGGGCTTGTAGCGCGGAGTCGAAGAGCCCCAGCATCGGGCACGCCCTGTGTTCGACCAGGACGAGGACCACCAACAGCAGGAGGCCGAATTGCAGCCGCGGATGCACACCAACTCCCGCCGCCACCGAAGCCGGTAAGACTGATTGAGGTGTGCTCGGGTAGCTCGGCATGGCTGAAGCCGACATGGAGCCGGAGCAGGGCCGCTTGATCAAAAAACCGCCTGCGCAGAGCCGCGACCGTGCGCTGACGGCTGTTCCCCGTTCTACCCGCAGCGTTATCTGCGCCATCGCCGAAGGCGCAAGCCATCCATAGCACAAGAAGAGCACAAAGGAGAAGTTGCCTGGCGTCCGCCAAGGAAAAGAATGCGGGGGCCGTCCCTCCAACGGGTCCCCATCAAAATATCGGAAAACTGGTTCTGGAATTGAGCCAGAATGCATACGGAAACACTCTGTTCGCTTTCCTCCATCCCTCTCCCTTATCAGCCCCATTGTTCCACGACACGACGTGTCCGTAAGCGGGTCAGGGCGGTTAATTTGAGACTTCCTCACAGCTTACGGTTATTCAGCTAAGGACTCGAACAGACACAAGGGCAGAGGGCTGGTGGTTTTCAACATGCGGCTGTCGCCTTAGCACCGCGGGCACTCGTTCCCAAAACTTTCGACAATCACAAAGATGCAGACTGGTCCGGTTTCGAAACTCGGGCCTCGCCTTCGCGCCGCGCGCATTCGTCCCGAGCACACCGTCAATTATACGAATGGAAGGGAAATTTCCAACATGCAGGCTCGCCTTAGCGACGCGAACATTCGTTATCAAGTTTCACCAGCTACAGTGATGAACTGTTCTCCACAAATGCACCGCTCGTTCTCGAATTCCTAAGTCCCATGGCCCGGCGCCCTCAAAAACAGAGCTCTTCCTGCTACACTAGCCACACGGATGGGAATCGGCTCCTTTCAAAATGGGAAACTCGCCCGAGACGTCCATCAACTTCACCACCACGACCTTGACATGGTGCAACACTTACACGGATGGGAGACAAATCCTTGTTTCCAAAGCGGTGTATCGCTGGGAATTAATGTTGGAATTAATTTGGCCATTTAATCATCGTACCCCTTCGTGCCTCTCCTGACTCGAGAAATTGAGCAATGGTCCTGTGTAAAACAAGATCTAACCTACGTGGCAGCCCAGCATAGCGCTGGTAAAACAATCCAGGCGAGGACTAATGCGGAGGGTGTTTGGTTCAGGAGCGTGTCTAGTAGCATCGTTGGCGCATCCTCGGCACATTCTGGTCCCCCCCTCGCTCCTCCCCCTCCGCCACCTTCGTTACCCCTCTTCCCGCCTCCGCCTCCCACCTCCCGCCCCGTTCTGCCCTTTTCCCCCGTTCCCCCCACGTCGTCGTTCCTCCTCGTTCCGTTTTCCCTCTTTGGTTCCCCCTTCATTCCCGATTCCCCGCTCTGAGGGAGGGCGCTCTCCTCTTCTAGCACGCCCATCCATCCCACACTCGCCTCATCTTCAATCCCCCTATGCGTACGCCGCACCCCGTCCATTGCTCTCCTCGGTACAATCAAACTCGCAGTCCTTCTCCCCATCTATCCCCGCCCTACCCCTCTTGTCGACCACAGCTAGACACACAACTACCACAGGGCAGTTCAGCCGCAGAAAACATGAGCAGAAATCTGAGTAGCACAACGTTTCCCACCTGGAAAGGTGGAAGGCGTCACCGCGCGACAAACGAGGGAAGGCGCCAAGGGTGGCAGAGACGCAGGAACGCGTGCGAAGGCATACGACACCCAATGAACAAAATGGCACTCAGCGGCCGCACATCTGGGAAGACACCCAGGCCCTGGACTGTCGTGCTTAGAGGCCTCCTGGATGCGGTCGGAGTAGATGGGGTCGGAGGATCGAGCCGCATCGCCGATACATCGGCGATGTATCGGCGATGCATCGGCGATGCATCGGCGATGCACTGGCGATGCATCGTCAACGTGGGCGATGCATCGGCGACGTCGACGTGAAGCCAATCGGGCTCCACATCGAGCCACATCGGCGATGCATCGGCGATGCGGCGCGACCCTCCGACCCCATCTACTCCGACGCCATCCAGGAGGCCTAGCGTGACCGAAAGTCCATGGTCCCACAGGCCGAGGGCGGGCTGAGCCGAACCACAGCTTGTGGGGGAAGTCCTCTGGACATTGGCCCGCCGACGCGGGGGCCGGCGGCGGCAGAGGCAGGCTGCCGACGTCTCTCCCACACGGACACCGACACTTCGCAGCCGGGGCGCGGGGCACTGCGGGTACTGCCGTCGCCGCTCTCTCCGCGCATCCCGCCCCGCCAGCTGAGCGCATGTCCGTGTGTGAAATGGTGCTCGCGCGTGCCACCAGCGAAGCCAGCACGAACAGACCTGCGCGTGGCGGCGAGCACGTGCAGACCAGCACTTGGCCAAAGTGGTCGGGCAAAGTACGGGGGTGTCGTCGTGGTCACCGAAGCAAGCCAAAAGAGCACTCGTGCCCCCGTGGCACTGCTGGAGAGCGCGGCAGCGCAAAGACCGAAATGCAAGGACCTGGCCCACGCGCATATCCCCGTGTTCCCTCCTCTACCGGCCACCTCCTTCCCCATGTGCACCTGCCCATTGCTCAACTTGCCTGGTAATTATGCGACCGCCCTCTCCATCCCGCAGCCATAACACTCACCTTGGCAGCGGGAGCGGCCTGATTGAGGCGCAACGGTCTTGACTCCATAGCGCCATGGGATAGCGGCATCAAGTCTGTGGCGCATCTGCCGATCGCGATCGCCCGCGTAGGATCTCGGCTCAAACGAAGTGCTACACGACAGTCCACCATTAGTTCTGAAATGTTGATGGCCCCGAAGAGAGACTAATAGCCTACCGAAAACGCGGTTCTGTGCCTGTCCGATCCTGCTTCTCCTCCTCCGTCTCCTCCTCCTGCTCCTGCTCCTCCTCCTCCTCATCCTCCTGCTCCTCCTCCTCTTGTTCCTCCTTCCCTGGATCCCATGGTTATCCAACGCCTCCTGCTTCCTTGTCCTCCCCTTGCTGATCCTGCTGCTCATCCCCATCGGTCTCTATGCTCGTCCGCGTCCTCATCCTTTTCAGATTCCGCCTCTCTTGCTCCTTCTCCCATCTGGTCTTTCCCCCTCCCTCCATCCTCCTCCACCTCCTAGTCCGAGTGCCCTCCCTCTCCTCATCAACCCTCCTCATTCCACCCTCGTTCTCCTCCATTTCCTCCTCCTCATCCTCCACATCCTCCTCCTCCTTACCAACCGCGTTGTCAGGCGCTTCGATCATCTGGGACCCGCCCGCCGTCTCGGTCCGCGCATGGTTGTACCAGCCGACGAGAAACGGAGGACTGACCTGCGGTCCAAAAGGAATCCCACCAGCCCTTTGGGCGTAGGTAGTCTAACAGACCATCGCTTCCCCCGAGGAACCCTTCACAACACGTCCCCTTCCCCTGCGGACTGGCGCGGGGGAGAGGGGCAGGTGCACGAGATGGGGGGGCAAGAGGAGAAGGAGGAGGAGGAGGAGGAATAAGCGGAGGAGCAGCAGCAGGGACAGAAAGAAAAAAGGACGAACCAATCAAAACCAATCCATTCCCTCCCCCCAACCTCCAGCAGCGACTACGTAACTAGACATGTGGCTCCGAAGGGCTCCCGAACCAAAGGATGAAGCCTCTGGCTGGAGGAGAGAATCGGCAGGAGCATGGGCTGTGGAGGAATAAAACTATGGGGAGGGGGGGGGGCGAGACGAAGGATGAGTAGGATTGTAGTGTAGCGCTGGCGCCTTGAGAGTACGCATAACCTTTTATGTGTTGGGTGGGGCATTTTGGTTTCCCCACCGTGTGGGGCAACGCTCGTGGGTCGGGAGGCCCCGCTTGATATGGAATGGCACATCGTACCTTCCGAATGCGTACGCGTACGCCGCATGTTTTGGCAGCGACCTTCTTGCCATTCCATACAAAAAACTGATGGGAACGCACATGAATGTAGCAACGCCAGCCTATTGGAGTGCGCGGGTGGGGGGCAAGATGGTGTGTAGCATGGCGCGCACAATACCCCAAACATGTTTCGATATTACAAGGTCATCGCTACAAAAGCTGAAGGCAACTGAAGACGCTCGAGAAGTTCTGGATCACCCCAACATCGGCCCCAGATGTGTACTGTTCGAAATCCAGGGCGCCTGGCCAACAACTGGCCCTCGTGAGGGTCGCCACTTTTATAAAGGCCCAGAGCGCCCGTCCCACAGCTGGCCCACAGAACCGGCAGAGGCCTCCAGCCAACCAGGAAGGGCGCCATCCCTTTGAGGATCGCCGCTTCTCGAAATCCAATGCGCGCGCTCCACAGCTCGCTCACAAAGCTGGCAGAGGCCTCTGGACCCCCAGGAATGGCGCCATCCTCGCGAAGGGAAGGTCGCCAGCGTTCGAATGCCAAGGCGCCGGGCCCACGGCTAGCCCAAAGAGCCAGCAGAGGCCTCCAGCCCACCAGGAAGGGCGCCATCCCTTTGAGGACCGCCGCGCTTTTCGAAAGCCGGAACGCGCGGCCCACAGCTGGCTCACAGAGCTGGCAGAGCCATCCAGCATGCCGGGGGGAGCGCCGTCCTCGTGAGCGCCATCCTCGTGAGGGTCTCCATTTTTCGAAGGCCGAGGCGCCCGGCCCACAGCTGGCCCACAGAGCCGGCAGAGGCCCCCGGCCAACCAGGGGGGCGCCACTCCTGTGAGGGTCGCCACTTGTCGAAGGCCAACGCGCCCTTCCCATCAACCATAAAAACATAGTCATAAGCCAGCAGTAGCATTACAAACCCTCGTCAGCAAAGTCGTTGTAAAAACAATCATAAAACAACAACGTGGGAACAACATGAGCAGCACCGATGCCATGAGCAGCAACCAAATCAGCAAAGCTGGTAGTGGTAGAAGTCTCTCGTTCAGCAAGTCTGAATTCCAGGTAAGAGCCCCACATGCGAAAGCAGATCTGGGGGGTACGAATTGGAGTGTTGCGATGCTGCTTTTCAGCGTAGACACCCGCATGGGTGCGGAGCCGCCAAGAGAGAGACGCACGAATGAAAAAAACGACCGTGCTGAAGACAAGACGCACTGGCACAGCAGCATACATCAGATAACAATCACGAAACCAGCGAAAACATCAGGCTGGACCGTAGGACCGCTGGCACTGCCGCCGGGCAGGTGTTTTTAAGGAAAACGCCTCGAATGGGGGGCATGAGCAGGAGGAGGATGCGGCCGCAGAGGAGGACAGGCAGGCTGAACAGCAAAATGATAACCACAGAAACAGCGGGGTATTAAGGAACGGTGACTTGCAAATTAAGGTGCTAACATCTGAGCATGAGCCAGCATTTGAATACAAGAAGGTGGTAGCAGCATGAGGAGCAACATGAGAGGGCGGCATTTCATTGCAAATCCCACATTTGGGCGACCTCCAAATTCACGCGCTTGCACCAGGCAGCAAGCACAGCTCTGATCTCCTGCCGGCTGGTCCCCCTGCTGCTGCACCTCCTACTTCTCCTCCTCCACCTCCTCCTCCTCATCATCATCGTCATCATCATCGTCATCATCATCGTCATCATCATCATCATCATCATCATCATCATCAACCTCATCATCATCATCATCATCATCATCATCATCATCATCATCATCATCATCATCATCAGCATCGTCATCCTCACTATCGTCATCATCATCGTCGTCATCCTCACCATCATCATCAGCATCAGCATTAGCATCATCACAATCAACCTCCTAACCAAAATCATGACTAACATCCTCATCATTAGCATCATCATCATCAGCAGCAGCAGCGACATCATAATAAACATTATCCGAACCAGCCTCAACATCATCATCAGCATCTTCAACGTCGTCAGCGGCACCAACATGATCTCCATCCGCATGATCATGATGATCACCGTCAGCATCCCCATCTCCATCATCATCAGCATCATCATCATCGGCAGCAGCAGCATCATCATCATCAGCATAATCGTCATCATCAGCATCATGGTCATCATCCGCATCATCATCGTCGTCACTATCACAACTATCACTATCATCATCATCAGCAGCAGCATCAGCTTCACCATCAACATCAGCATCAGCATCAACAGCATCATCAGAATCGCCATTGTCATCGTCATTCACAGCATCAGCTGCATCATCACAATCGCGAGCATCATCAGCATCATCATCATAATCATCATCACAACCCTCATCATAATCATCAGCGTCATCATGATCACAATCATCATCTGCATCATCAACATCAACATCAGCATCATCAGCATAATCACCTGCACCACCACCACCATCATCGTCATCATCATCATCATCAGCGTCATCAGCAGCATCGCCATCACCATCATCATCTACTTCATCATCAACATCATCATCATCGCCGTCGCCGTCGTCGTCGTCGTCATCGTCATCGTCCCCATCACCATCATCAGCATCATCATAGTCACCAGAATTTGCAACATCGTCATCATCAGCATCGTCGTCATCGTCGTCCTCAGCACCATCACCATCATCACCATCATGATCCTAACCAACATCATAACCAACATCATCATCACCATCATCAGCATTATCAGCAGCATCATCATAAACAACAGCCTCATAACCAGCATCAGCATCAGCAACAGCATGATCTCCATCATCATAGTCACGATGAGCACCATTATCATCACCAGCGTCATCATCATCAGCAACATCATCACCGGTAGTATCAGCATCATCAACACATGCGTCATCATCCGCATCATCATCGTCACCACCATCATCAACATCAGCATCACCATCAGCATCATTAGCATCACCATAACCATCATCATCAGCATCATCAGCATCAGAATCGTCAGCATCAGCATCAGCATCATCATCATCAGCATCACCACCAGCATCATCATAAGCATCACCATCACCATCATCGTCGTCATCGTCATCGTAATCGTCATCTTTATCACTACCATGATCAGCATCATCACTATCGTCATTATCATCATCAGCATCATCATTGACGACGGCCTCCAAACGGCTGAAGAGGCCCCCAAGACGCCCCAAGAGGCATCCACGATGCGCCCACAGAGGGCCTCTAGACGCAAAAAATCCTTCGTTTCCTTCGTCAAACGTATATCGTTTCACACGTGCGCCTTTTGGGGTGTCCCCCGCTCCTGGACGGCCCCAGAGCCACCCAAACCCGCTCCCAGACGGCCCAAGACGCCCCCAAGAGGGTCCCCACAGAGCCCTCGAGGGCCCCAAGACGCGCAAACACACGTCCAAGACGGCCCAAAAAGGCTCCGAAAACGGCCCCGAGAGCGCTCCAGGAGCGGTCCGAGCGGCCTCGACGAGAGCTCCACATGGTCCTCGACGGTCCAAGAGCGACCCAAAACGCTGACGACGGCCTCCCGACGGCTGCAGAGGCCCCCCAAGACGCCCCACGAGGCTTTCACTATGCGCCCCTGGAGGGCCTCTCGCTGTATAAAATCGCCCGTTCTCTTCGTAAAACGTGTTTTTTTTGTACGTGCGCCTTCTGGGGCGCTCCGGGGCGGCCCGAGAGCCTCCCAAGACCGCACCAAGACGGTCCAAGAAGCCTCCACGAGGGCCCCGCGACAGGAGAAGGAGGGGGGGGGGAGGAGGAGCAGGAGGAGGAGAAGGAGGAGGAGGAAGAGGACAAGGAGGGGGAGGAAGAGGAGGAGAAGGCCGGGAAGGGAAGGGGGATAAGGAGGAGGAGAAGGCGGGGGAGGAGGAGGAGGAGGAGGAGGAGGAGGAGGAGGAGGAGGAAGAGGAGGAGGAGGAGAGGGACGAAGGGCGGGAGGAAGAACAGCAGGAGAAGGACAAGAAGGAGGAGGAGAAGAAGGCGGGGAAGGGAAGGGAAGAAGGACGTGGACGAGGAGGAGGAGGAGGAAGGGCAGAAGAAGGAAGAGGAGGAGAGGCACAAAGAGGAGCAGGAGGGAGGAGCAGGGGGAGGAGGAGAGGAGGAGAGGGAGCCGATCATCGTCATCAGTGTCGTGATCATCAACGACGTCATTGCCATCGACAAGGTCAGCCCAAACATCTCCGAACATTAACAGTTAGCGGGACATCCCGCTTGGAAACCGCCGACAACCGTAAGATGTCCCCGGGGTGTAACATATTTCCCTGGCTCTGGCACCCGTGCAAGGCCCCAAACACAACCCAAAAAACCTCCCTGTGCCGTCTTGGGGTTCGCTTGGGCCGTCTGGAAGCCCTCTGGGCCAGTTTGCGACCCATGTCGGCTCCCCTTCTCGCTGCGACGGGCCCTGAACAACCTCATTTTCCCACGGTTTGCAAGGAAGCTGTGGTGAACGATCCCGGGGAAAATCCAAGGGGTCGGCGGATGTGGCGGAAGCCTGAAGAATCATCATCAGCATCATCATTATCATCACCATTATCATCATCATCCACCCCCCTTCTCGTCGTCATCTTGTCGATCTCTCTGATCCTTCCAAGCACCCCCTTGCTCCCCTCCCACCACGCCCGAGCCCATCTCCTTCCCCGGTTCCCCTTTCTCCTCCGCCTCCCCCTCCCTTGCCCCCCCCTCCCCCAACCTCACCTCTCGCCTCACCCTTCTCCTCCAGGGCGAGAGCGGGAGCGTGACGAGGGACCACCTGACCCCCCTCTTCCTCCGAGGCGCCCCTGCCCCTCCGCCCCGCCCTTCCCCCCTCCCTGTCCCCCACCCCTCCTCCACCTCCCTCCCCCCTCTCCACAATTACACAATATGCATACTACTCTCCTCTCTCCGCTGATGACGTCCGGAAGATGTTCGGCCCCCCTCCGCGTACTGTCTTCTCGAACACAGGATTCCCGGGAGCTTGGTTCTCGCTTGGGTTTACTTCCCAAAATGTTGTTCCCGCTGAAGCGCTGGCCTTATTTCCGGGCTTCCGCTCGTTCCGAATCGTGCTCCCGCTGCAGCGCTGGTCTCATTTCTGCGCTTCTGCTCGTTCCGAATCGTGTTCCCGCTGCAGCGCTGGCGTACTTATTTCCAGAGCCATGCCACGGCATGCAATGCAATGCTATGTGGTGTTCCGCTGTGCGATGCCATGCCTTCAGCTGCAATGCTATGATATGCAGTGCTCGACTACGCAGCGCCACGCCCTGCTATGCCATGCTACGCTTTCATCTTCAACGCCATGCTATGCCATGTTCTGTTCTGTGCCGCTGTACGATGCCATTATTTGCGTTGCAACGTTTTGTGTTGCAATTCTTCACTACGCAACGCCATGCCATGCTATGACATACTGCGCTCTGCCGTGCTTTTCTACGCCCTGCTATGCCGTGCTCTACGATGCATCGCGCACCCGCTCGGGATCATTGCCCTGCTCGGCATCCGACTGTGCGAATAGAGAGGAGATCTACGCCATGGTAAGGGATGGGAGGGAGGGGTAGGACATCATAGATGGCCCGAGTGCACCTAGCTTGCCCCACCCCCTCCTCCACATCCCCTCCCCTCGTCAGCGCGGTCTAGGGCAACCGTGAAGAATTCTGTAGCATTGTGACCAACTTCTATGCAGTCGCCGGCTTGGTGCAGCACCGTGAAGGCGGGCAACATGGATTGATGCTACATCGTACAGGTCCTGGGTCCGCCCACCTATCGAAGATACGTGCTTCATGATCCTGCCACAATGTTGAACCCCACCCCCTGCGATCCGCAGCACCTGACCCAACCTTCCCCCCCGCCCCCGCTCACGCACGCGCCCTCCCCGCCCTGCGCCTCTGGGCCGCTGCCCTCTGCGACCTCGCCAAGGGGAGCGCCGCCGGTCTCCATGTCGGCGGGTCCGTTCCAGAACGGCGCCGCCAAAACGGCCTGTGCCAAAACGGCCCTGGCGAGGAAGGAGGGCAGGAAAAGAAGAGATCGGCGGCACGCAAGGAGTGACCCTAGGCAAGACTGACCTTTCGTGCGCGACAGTACGGGGGCGCGCGGTGTTGCCAAACCCAAGCGCGCAAGCCGCTGCTACCGCGCCACCCTCAGCGATCGGGGAGGCCCGATGGGCCCGCACCAGAGATCACTCTGAGGAAGGGTCATTCTAACGCGGCGTACCCGAAGGAAGCAACGACGGGGCATCAGGAAGGCCATCGAGTTATTATCAGAATGAGGCGAGACAACACCGAGGGAAGCGTGCGCCAGAACTTGTTTTGTGTCGGCGGCGCTGGCGGTCGCAAGCGCGTCAGGTGTGCGCCCAAAAAACACAACGGCCAGAAAAGCACCAAGCAAGCGCACTGCTCGCTGGAACAACTTGGAATACTGAAGGGCGTTCAAGGTGGAAAGAAGGAGCAAAGCAGGATGAGCAACGGCATACGAGCAAGGCCATCGAGCCCATGCCCTAATGCAATTCAAAGCCGAAAGTGGCAGGTTCAACCCAGCCATCTCCGCGCAAACCTCGGGAGGCGCGCAAAGGAAGCAAGCTACCAAAACTGGGTCTCCCTGGGCAACCCGAATCCGTTGAACCGCCCGACCGCGACAAACGACACACCTGGCGCCTGTGGCGCGCTTAGCACGGCTGGCGCCCTAAGGACTACTAACTTGTATTGACCAGGTTGCTTCAATTGGGGCGTGATTTTCTTAAACACAACCCGAGTCAACTGAACCACCCGAACGGGCCCAGAGCCATGCCACACCTGGCACCTGTGGCGTGCTGGATGCGGATGGCGCCACAAGAACTACAACTGACTGACACCCGACCTGGACCGGCATCGGAGCCAGGACCGTGATTCACTTGGGTGCGATGGTCTTGCTCATCCCGAAACGTGTTATAGCCAGAGTGAGCCCCAAACACGGAGTTATTGCACTGTGGAGGTGAAGGCTGTGCGAAGTGTGCTATGTGTTAGCTATGCTGTGTAAGCTATGCAAGGTTGGCCATGTGGTGTAAGCTACGTTGTGTGATGTATGTGGTGTGATCGATGCTGTGAAAGTTATGCGCTGTGACCTGTGTGGTGTGAGCCATGCTGTGCAAGCGATGCAGTGTGAGCTCTGCGGCGGAACCCCTGCTGTGTACGGGGAGGAGGAGAAGGAGGGAGGAGAGGGAGGGGGGAGGAAGGAGGAGGGAGGAGGAAGGGAGGAGGGGGAGGGAGGAGGAGGAGAAGGGAGGAGGAGGTGGGGAGGGAGGGAGGGAGAGGCTGGGAGGAGGGGGTGAGGATATGGAGGAGAGGGAGGAGGAGGAGGAGGAGGAGGAGAAGAGATGCCGCCCACCCAGAGCACCCGGGCGCCCACGAGCGCCCGCGACGCGAGGCGCCCACGCGCGGGCACCAGGCGACAAAAAAAACCTCCGTGGGCCCGCCCAGGGCACGCGGCGCCCCCCGAACGGGCGCCTCGGCGACGCCTCGGCGGACCCACTCGGGGCACGGGGCGCCCACGAGGAGGAGGAGGAGGATGAGGAGGGAGAGGAATGAGTAGGAGGGGAGGAGGAGGAGGGAGATGAGGAGGAGGAGGAGGAGGGGGCGCCCACGAGGCGCCCCCCGAGCGGGCGCCTCGGCGACGCCTCGGCGGACCCCCCCGGGCCCACGGGGGCGCCCTCGGGGCGCCCACGAGGCGCCCCCCGGACGGGCGGACACCCGGCGATGCCTCGGCGGGCACACGAAGCGCCCACGGAGCGCCCACGGGCGCCCACGGGGAGGGAACGGGGAGAATGGGAGGCCTGGAAATTGGCACCAACACCAAAACAGGGGCTGCCTCCACAGGGGGAAGGTGATCCTAGATTTTCGGTGTTGGTGGTAATAGTTCGGCCACCTTGGAGGCCAGAATATTACCACCATCACCGAGATCAGGATCTTCTTCCCTCGATGGAGGCACACCGCCGAAATTGGTGTTGGTGTCAATCTCTAGGCCTGCGAGAGAAGCCGCGGCGGACCCGCCCAGCTGCCAAAGCAGCGCAGGCAAGAGCCCCAGAGTGAAAGCACGGACCGCGTGGCGCGCCGGACGCGAGGGGTGCCCCGAAAAGCTGCTGCTGACGGGGACCCGACCAGGACCAGGACTGGAACTGTGGTTCGACGGGGCCAGGTGAAACTCCCGACGGGGGCCGGGGCCATGACACGCTCTGAAACTAAAAAACGTATTATTGGGGAATACCATGGCGGACACTCATTGTAAGCTTTTTCCAGGGGCCGGTCCTGAATCCCCGATGCCAGCACCAAGGAAGACGCGAGGGCACGTCGCAGCCAAGTCGACGAAGAATTCATCCGCGGTGCCCCAGACGCCTACCCCAAGGCCCAGTCGCCAGCCAATCCGTCGACGACTCGCAAGAGCAGCAGCAATCGGGCTTCGGACTCGCGACTATTCGCTCGCACAATCACACGGTCAACCGAAAACTCGCTCGGCAGCGCAGAGCAGGCGGGGAATCCAGTCTGTGGGGGGCCAAAGGACAGGAGGCAGAGAAGACAAAGCGATTTGGAGAAAAAGGTCCCATGCTCGACGTTTCGAGACGCTTTCCAAATCACCAACGGCACTCGGCCCGTTGGGCAAGGCGCGGCGCTTTCAACCCTCCGCCCCTTGCCGCTTGCTGACGGCCGCGGCGATAGTCCTCGAAACCAGCTGCGCGAATCGGAGTGTCCCCCGTGCTGGCGACGGGCAGGCGCTGCCTTGAAGGAGGGTGAGGAAAACGAGGAGGATGAACGAGGAACCAAGAGACGATGAGGAGGAGGGGCGATGAGGAGGGGCGACGAGGAGGAACAAGAGAAGGGCGAGGAGGAAGAACAAGAGGAAGAAGACGGCGAGAAGGGGAGGAGAAGCCGAGGATGAGAGGGGGAAGATGAGGAGGAGGAGGAGGAGGAGGAGGAAGAGGAAGAGGAACGTAGGAGGGAGGAACGTGGAGCGAGCACGACGACGGGCGACGAAGCTTCCCTCGAGGCGACGCCGCGTGTGCCTCCGAAGTCGCTCCTCGGGCGCCCCGCTCCCGCGCCCGGCCGGCGCCCCGCGGACGGCGTGGCGCGGGCCCCCTGCCGCGAGGCCTGAAGGGCACCAGCCCACCCCAGACTGACTACCTACCAGACCACCCCAACCCAACCCGAAGACCCGAATTTCGGGTTGGGGGGGGTAAGGGTTCCACGCGTGTTTTTTTCGATGTTTCCCGAACCCCACCCCACTAGAAATCGAGGGTAAATCTGAGCCTTCGGGTTGGGTTGGGGTGGTTTGGTGGGTGGTGACAGACGTGCGAGGTCCCGACTTCCCCGAGAGCATATTTGCATTCGCGGCCACAACGGGCATTATGGAGAA